GCAATCGCCTCATTGGTTGTTGTATTGCCCTCTCAGGCATACATGCATATTATTTGGGAGTCTATCTGCCAATTGAAAAACGACCTAAATGTCTACAGTGGCTCTCTGGTAAGCAACATCATCTTGTCCTAGTCCATGTGCCAAAATCTTGAATGCTTGGTCGGAACAGAAAGCATAATTTTTCCTAGAATCCTTTTTCCTTATGAAGTTTTACTATGCTGTATATGGCATGTCTGAGATCATTTGCTTCATCACACGGTCCTGAAAACAAAACCATGCATACCTGTACAAACCAGTCCAATATGTGGATATATATGGTCATCTAATATTTGTGGTGTTGAGCCGTTTCAAGATGTTCGCTCAATGAAAGCCATGTAGGATTATGAAGACTAAATGTATGCAGTTTGATACCCTGGAAGGCAGAAATACTGGGACACCATTGCTTCACTTTCCACCCAAGGAGTGGAACATCTCAGTCAGAGAAGTCCATGAATTTTTGTAAATTATGAAATAATGAATTATTGGCCTGAAGGATAGTTTCCACTCCTCAAATTCAGACAATCTTGAAAAGTAAAACTTAAATATTTTTATTCAGTTTGAACTCAGCTATCAATCTGACAATTCAATGAAAATGTTGATGAAAGTTTGATTAAATGAGACTTTCTGTTTAATTATTGACCTCCTTTTGCCTTTAGCTATTTCTAACGTGTTTAATCTAATTGATTAAGGTGTTTTAAGATTTTCCTAATATCTGTGTAGTGCTTTCAAATCCTCAAAATCCATATATTTGTCTAAGATATATAGTAACTTTGTCTCACACATTTTTGCTATGTATTACAGCTACAACAACAAAATATGTTCAGATGCTCTTCTACTGTGCTCTGTCGGACCTGGACATAGACATGGAACCTACAGCAGCTAAGAATAAATAGAGTTGCCTTGACATTGAGAGTTGCACCTTGACATTTTCTATATCTGGAGCAATTATCATCATCTGAAGTTCTCCCCATGTGTTCAGTTATACTAAAGCACTAACCACTGTAGTATGCATTAGTTTGATGTCTGTTAATTTGTGCTTGCTTTATAAACCACTCTGGTTTAGAGTATTTTTTTTTTTAGAACTATTTGTTAATAGTGAGTTATCATGTAACACTTTGAAACTATAAAGCACTGTATGAACAAACATTTATTAGCAGATAAGTGCTAAATATTAGATTAATTGCAAAATTGTAATAAAAAGTATTAGGTCTAGTCACAATCCTAAGAAATAAATTGATAAATCTAACAAAAGACAGACCAGATATTTGCAAGATTCAAAAGCTGAGCTGTGAAGTAGAAGCCACAGTGGACTTCTAAAAATATAACTAAATTCTTAGCCAAAGTAAAAAGTATATAATTCAAACTGGTAGACATGCTTTGAGTCAATGTAGTATTAGTGGTAAACTATTCTAATGCATAATTCCCGGTATACATATTGTTCCAAAAAGAGAAAACCAAAGTTTTCAGTCATTTAAATTCTGTTAGAAATTCTCATTTGACGATATCCCACATTCATTACCCTTTTGCAGAAGAGGTATTTTCAATGAACAAATTATACCATTGTAATTGAAGTACTTTTGCTTTCCAGCAGAACAGCCTGCTGTGGAGCACTGTAAGGGACTGAGTCATGTTCCAGCTAGAGTATAATCAGGGAAAACACCTCACCTTTTCCTAGTGTCCATTCCTTGCCTAGAAGTATCAAAGGTGGGACCCCATGGATCATACTAATTTTTTCCACAGTGGAACTTATTTAAGGAATTCACAAGGAGAAAGTAAAAACTATTGACGTTTACAAAATCCCTTGAGCCCCTGCCCAGCCCTTCATGCTTCACCAGTTCCTGCTGGCAAGGTAACCTGCAGGTCTCCCACTGAGCATGCAGAGAGCCTCCAGCACCAGCTGCCAGGTCTTCACATCACGTAGGTGGTGCCTGTTGCACAATATCTAGCACAGGCGCATCCACTGGACAACTGCACTCACCAGTGGGTGCTATGAAAGCAAAGGGCAGTTAAGAACGAGGATCGTTCTCTTAAACATTAAGTTTTTCAGTGTGGCACATCGGAATGTGCAACTAGTCCTAATTTTTAGTCTCCTGAAATGGAAGAGACAATAACTGTCATTAAAAAAAAGCCACCAGCCTTGTAACCTAGACCATAAAAACAGCTGCTCCAGCTCTAATATGCTTTGTTGATATGTAGTACCGTTTGTTATCCTTGTTGGCAAGTTGTACTTCCTTTCTGTAATTATATTTGAATATAACATACATTGTTTCTAATTTGAGTTTCATCATTCCTATTCAATTAACCCCAATTAAGGTAATTTAATCTTATACAAGTCCCTGTAGCTTCTAGCATTATTATCTTTTACTGATGTCTGCCCAGAGAAAGAGCAATGGAATAGGGAAGAAGGCAATTGTTGCTACTTAAACCTCTCTTCATTCCCTCTCCACATTGTAAGGTCATTTGCAGGATTGTAATTTTGTGCATCTCCAACACAGTGTTTGCTGACAGGGCTCCTGTGAAACCTTCTATTTGCATTTCAATGCCCTCTGCTGTGGCAGTTTCCTTTCAGTGGGGTTTTCTTTTGATATAAGGTATGAACAATAAAAATGCACTAAATTAAGGTAAACATGAAGATATTACAGATGCATGTTTTGCTTTTTGGAAGCCACAGCTTTCAAGCACTAAAATCACTTAAGTATCACAATCATAAAACATGAAGAGGAAAGAAGACCCAGGGTCTAGCTTAGTTTGCCCAGCTCAGAACATGCCCGTGTACTCTTCACACACACAACACATGCCTCTGTTACAGTATAGCACCATTTTGATCCTGTTCTACAATTGTACGGAAATACTGTGGTTTTGCCCCATCTCTTACAAAGCACTGGTTAACAACAGAGCCATGGTCCCAGACTGTATCAGGGCACAAAGAGAGTACAAACCCTACAAGTTGGTACTGCACTAAACGTGACAGTCTTTGTCTCCAAGAGTTCAAAGTCATGCTTGGTGCTGAGCTATGTATCACACCAAGACAGGACTGTACCGTCCTCTGAAGTTTTTCCTTGCAGAACCAAAGTTCCTAAGTGATTTGAGACACCTGATGTGACCTCTCGGGCGGTAACAGATAGCAGGCACTACAGGTAGTGTAACAAGGGCTACGGACTAAGACCATTTCCATAGAGAATTCTGAGCTGAGAAACTTCTTTCTTTGTCTGTTTTTTGCCAAAATCTGTTTTTACATGAATCCGTTAACTTTCTGGGCATGACGCACAAGCATTCATTTTCTTTCTTTCTGGACAGAAGGAAAGTACTAGTCAGATGCAAGGTTATAAGTGTGAATAATGTTACTGAAATTCTCTACGGACATCGGAATCTCAGAAATGTTAATGTGTTGATTTTTCACTCCTTACAAATAACACATGTAAGTTATTGTCAAATATCTAAAGCAAGTCATACATGCTGAAGTATTTAAATAAACATATGATCCTTGGCAAATACTGTAGTTGTTTGGTTTTAAAGATTAAAAATAGTATTGTGAATGAAATTGGCCTCAAGTTGTGCCAGGAGAGGTTTAGATTGGATATTAGGAAAGATTTCTTCTCCGAAAGGGTTGTCAGGCACTGGAACAGGCTGCCCAGGGAAGTGGTTGAGTCTCCATCCCTGGAGGTATTTGAAAGACGTGTCGATGTGGTGCTTGAGGACATGGTTTAGTGGTGGACTTGGCAGTGCTAGGTTAATGGTTGGACTTGATGATCTTAAAGGTCTTTTCCAACCTAAACAATTCTACGGTTCTATGATTCCACAAATTTGCCTTGCCTTACATCCCACAAGTTGGTTTCTTAGAAGAGCAATGAGACTCTCTTATTTGTGTTTTCTATAACAAAACAAAATAAGCACTTATGGAAGGAAAAATTTCTGGTTACTCCAGGTGGGACTCTTTCTCACTGCAGCTGAGCAACTCTTTCTTGTTCTAAGAGTAAACACTTTTTTTTACATTATTCACAGATGCTCAATTATGTAGTCAAACAATAAACACTTTTACTTTTTTAAAGATGGTCTTGGCATCCAGGATAAGTATCTTGTCATTACAAAATATAAGGAGTGGGCATCTCGTTTGTCAGCTGGCATCTCTGCAGTGGAAGGGACTGGGGTATGGATAACAGCGGAAGCCCTTGGAAGACCTAGCCCGTGGAGGTGCAGGCTGCACTGCAGTGCGTAATGGGAGCCTGGAAGGCTGCAGGGACAAGAGACCCTGGAGAACAGGCCGCCTGCAGAGCCGGGGAAGGGCCTTTCAGGGGCAAAAACTGGGGCAATACAGTACTTAGGAGTAGTATTACCTCTTCCTTACGTATCAAGAAAATACAGGATTCTTGGGTTTTTTTGAAGAATCACAGTTCTCTGAATAACAATGGGAGAAGATTGGCCAAGAGGGCCAATGGCATCCTGGCCTGTATCAGGGATAGTGTGGCCAGCAGTACCAGGGAGGTGATCGTGCCCCTGTACTCGGCACTGGTGAGGCCGCATCTCGAGTACTGTGTTCAGTTTTGGGCCCCTCACTACAAGAGGGACATCGAGGTGCTGGAGCGTGTCCAGAGGAGGGCAACGAAGCTGGTGAAGGGTCTGGAGCACAAGTCTTATGAGGAGCGGCTGAGGGAACTGGGGTTGTTTAGTCTGGAGAAAAGGAGGCTGAGGGGAGACCTTATTGCTCTCCACAACTACCGGAAAGGAGGTGGTAGCGAGGTGGGGGGCGGTCTCTTCTCCCTAGTAACAGGTGATAGGACAAGAGGAAATGGCCTCAAGCTGCGCCAGGGGAGGTTTAGGTTAGACATTAGGAAAAACTTCTTATAGATGAAGACATGGTATAGATGGACTTGGCAGTGTTAGGTTAACGGTTGGACTCGATGATCTTAAGGGTCTTTTCCAACCTTGACGATTCTATGATTCTATGATTCTAAGATACATCAGTATCAGACTGCATTTCTGTGTCAGAAAGAAAAGCAAAAGTTTTTGTTGATAGGGGAAAGACTAATTGTCAGCCACAGAAAGTCTGAAGAAGATGTCTGGGCTTTGCACGAGCCATAAGGGCTGTCATGTGCTCCCTGGCTACAGAGGCAAAGAAATGCCTTCACACATTAGGTAGGACGAGGATATTGAAGTGTGAAACAACCTGAGATGCATGACCTGATAGTGGGCCTAGTCATAGCTCTGTTACAGGACAAAGTGCTTTCAACCCATATGTGACTTGCAACTGAAGACACTTCCTAAAAATCTTTTCTTAAAATTCACCTTCACTGTGTAACAGGAACTTTAGAAGTATTATTGCACAATCTCTGAATCTGAAGCACTAGATCTGTCAAGTCCCTCTTCTCTAGCTGATAAGCTATAAGGTTTTGTAAATCTTCCCATTTTTTTTTCTGCAGGATTCGGTTTTGACTTATGAGGAGTGGCAGCCAAGCAACTATGTGAAGTGCTATAATTTTGCAAGTGTCTCAAAAGCTCTAAAATGAAAAAAAAAGAAAGGCGAATGAGGAAAATAAAATGCAAACCTAAGCAAGATGCCACACAATAACAGGAGAATAACTTCTTTATCTTGTACATCAGGAGCCTGGATTATAACCACAAGAAATTAGAAGTGCTTATTGAGGAACACACATTTAATGTAATGGATGTCCCCGAAAAACATGAGAGTGGGCTACTGAAATGTCTGGTTATTAGCTACATAGAAAGGTTAGTATTAGAGTCAAAGGAAGGGACTGGAATTTGGTTTACATGACCATGGTTTTGAAACAGGAGAGGTCAACGTTAAAACGAATGATCATGAGTCAATGCTCTTCTAACAGGAAGAATAAATGAGAATGAATTGGTTTATGCATTCAATAAAAAGCACAGTAGAAAT